GTTTGTCAGCAAGATTTGCTCTTTTGAGCAGAGAAGAAACAGACACAACTAGGACATTTAAGAAGAAGCTATCAGGAACAACATTTGCCCCTCTATATAAATGACTGCAATTTCCAAACTGCCCAGAAGTGGGAGATTAAACAGATGCTGAGAATAGCAGAGTTGAGCTAGGCAAGCAACTTTCTTTGAAATATACCACTTCACTGTCTGCAGGCACACATTCTTTGGGGTCATCAAGGGAAGGAGATGCTTCATCCTGCTTCGGGCATTGGAAGAGTATTGACTACTATCTATTCTCTGGGAGAGTGCCCCTCTAGTGATAGTTAAGGAGCCTCTCTCAGTTCCTGGGAGGTCTTAAGGAACAAAGAGTACCCCATGAGAGTAGTGTGAAGTAGGGGTGCTTTCAAAAAGTAACGTGGCCTTCGGTTAATATTTCACTCCACATTTTATTTTTATTTATTAAATTTATATGCCACCCATCTCTGTGCTCAAGCAAGCATGGACTTAGCTGGCTCTTATTCATTTCCTAGGTGTGGAATAGAGTAGGCTCTTATGTGACTAGCTTGCATGGGTGTCTGGTCCTGGAGAATGAAGAGGCAGACAAGAAAAGAAGGCTAGGAGTGTCTATAGTTCCTTGTTTTTCAATCACATGGCTTTCTTTTTTAAAAAAATATCTAAACATAAATCACTCTACCCCAGAACCAGATGCCTTTGAAAAGAGGGTTATTTTTTCTGTCTTGGAAATTCACTTACATATCAGAGTAGAACATAAAGGCTGTAGAGTGGCAAATGGCAGGATGGAGAATGGAGTCCCAAGAGAAGAGACATATCTAGAGTTGGGGTGTTATCTTTTGCTTTTCCCAGTTTGAAGGATGAGGAAATGGTTGAGCAGTCATGTGATTCTTTCTAAATTAAAAACAGAGCTGGGGCAGGTATGAGCTGGGATGGCACAGCCCAAATTTTGTTTCCAAGAGCCCAACCCAATTCTGTATTTCAGTGACCAACACCAGCTGTGGATTTGTTGTTCTGCCAGTAGGATCTCCTGCTGTGGCACATAAGATATGCTTATGAAGGAAAACCAATGTGTAAATGTCTATTAAAAAACAGCATAAGAATTTGTTTTGGGCTCACTTGTTTGATCCCCCAAATATAACTTTCCTGCCATAATTTCCTCTTGTTTTTTTAAGTTCCAGGCACCAAAAGCTGATTCTAACAGAACAAAAATCAGTTCTTTTGAAGTTCAAGGCTGCAGTTTGACTTTGTCCTTGCATAATTTTGAATTTCAATATTGCATTATCACTCCCTCCCCAAATTCCTATTACTTCAATCAATGCCTTTTATCATTTCATCTCTGTTAGTGAGAATTAAGTCCAGTATGGCTGACCCTCTAGTTCCCTTCTCTACCTTTTGGGAGACAAAGTTCTCTGCTAGGTTTGTCAGGAATCTGTTTGATCTTCCACTAGGTGCAGAGTTTGTCTCCCAGTTGATGTCAGAGTAATTAAACTCCTCTATTACTATTGTGGTGGGCTTTCTGCATACCTTAGCAAAAAGTTCATCTATTTCTTCTGTTTGGCTGGTTAGCCTGTAGTATACTCCTATAGCAATGTCATTCTTTTTTCATTTTTATATTGACCCAAATGTATTCAAGATGTTTTTCATCATTGCTCTGTTGTATTTCTGTAGAGTTATAGTTATTTCTTATATATAGCGCAACTCTACCTCCTCCTTTATTAGGTCTGTTTTTTTAAAAAATAACTCAATCTAGCTGTATGTTCCATTTATGGGTTTCATCCCACAAAGTTTCCATAATGGCAACAATATCATATTATCTAGATTGTAGTGTCATTAGACTGGGCAATGAAGGAGGTTTGTCCTGGAATGTCTCCAGGAGTTGCTGAAATTAAGGGAGAAATGGCAGTGGATCCAGGTATCTCTGAAGGAATCTTATGGCTTTTGGGCAACTGGAATTGAGGCCAAATCTGAGACTGAGGCAAACATAGCATGAGGCCCTGAAGCTTAATAGAAAAAACAAACACCTGAGCTGGTGAGAGCTCTTTACTGCTAGTGCAGCTTCAACAAGATCTTCGCAGGCAGAGGTTGTGCTAAATAAAAGTCCACCTTGGAATGTTACAGGCTTGATTTGAAGGAACTGGCCTTCCTGATGTCCTGCTTTGGGGAAGTGAGTCAGAAAGCTAAGAGCAAAGCCCTGGCAAAGCACACTTCCTCCCTCAGTAAATGATATAGTGACAGTCAATATTCTGTTTCCATTTTTTGGCAGTGGCTCTGTACACGATAATGATATGTTTATTTGCATTAATTGTAGCATTAATAGGGATTTTTCAATAGCAGCAGCTAATTACTCTGTCATATGAAAGCTATGGGATGTGGTCTTCACATTAACAAGCTTAAAAATCAGAGAGCACTTTGGTGGAAAGGGATGAGCCCAAAAGAAGAGGTAAAGATTTGGCTGGCCTTCAAGACAGTCTTCATTTCCTTGAATTAACATGATTATCCTTTCCTTTCACTGCAGGGAGTATAGCCAGTATATTTAAAAACTGCTAAAAAGCCTCAACTGAAATCCCCAAAGTTTTATTCCATTTTTCCTAATGTCCAATTCTTCTTCTTCCACAGTGTAACCTCTGGGTTCTTACTTTGTCTGTTTGTGTTCTTCTCCTGTCTGCCTATCATTTATGTTACAAACACATGACATTAAAATTCCACTCCATGTAACAGTTCTGTTCCATTTCTCCTTCCCCCCCCCTCAATATTTCTTTTTTTCTTCACTATTCTCTTCTTTGATAGTACAGAAAAGGTTTGGAATCCTTTTCCCATAATAAGTGTGAGGGAGGAGAAGCTCTGGGGCTCATGATTTGGATCAACATTTCATCTATAGAATCCTTTTTGATCCAGAAGGAAAGAATTGAATTTATTTGATGGATGTATAAGGCAAAGCAATAATCTTTCAAAAAGCAATATCAAGTTTAAAATAATAGTTATTACTGTAATTTTATCCTCATTATGACTTGTGAAAGAACTTCGCTCAGTCTTACGCTTAGTCAAAGTGTAAGATAATAAGCACCTGTCATTGAAAATGGATATGTATAGAATATATATGCAGCATCTTTACAGCATAAACTCACAAGGTTTATGCAGTGAGATGTGTGGCAAACAAATTTAATAATGAATACACATTGACTTTTTGAGTCCCATTACATGTGATATATTGAAAGTTTTATTTCCTGAGTAGTGATTATGAATTACAGTCAAGAAATAAAAGAATTGGAACTTTCACAGCTGTTCATCTATTATGTCTCAGCAATCCTTGCAACAACCCATAAACCAGAGATTGGCAAACTGTGGCTCTTTAGATGTTGCTGTACTAAATGTCCAGTATTCCTCAGTATTGACCAAACTGGCTAGAATGGAAGGGCTAAAAGTTTGTAGTAAAGTAACACTAGGGAACGATAGCTTTTTCAGTACCTGTATCATGTACAGGCCAAGACTAATTTCGAAATAAAGATGTCCTCCTCATAGTGTGTTATTGTTTTTTTCCTGTTTTCCCATGTCCATAAAATCAACATAAAAATTGTCCAAGGCTTTTACCCATGCCCAGCTCTCCAATCTCAATTCCCTTCTTTTACATTGAGCTTTTTATTGCTCAGCACCTTCTCACAAGATTCCACACATAGAAATTTGGCAGTTAAAATCTTTGGAAGATTTAGCACAAGAAAATATTATATATTCATGGTTTCAGTACAGACAAATAGCGGACAGATGGAAGATAGATCGTAATGTGGGCTTGCTTAGAGAAGATGAAAATTTTGTTAAACAAGTAAAAGATCAAAGACGAACTCATATTAAGAGAATCTATGGGTTGCTAGTAGAATTGGATTCAGAACCAGAATTAATCAAAGAATGTATGATTAAATGGGCACAAAATTTTGGTGAACCAGTTCTACTAGATACCTGGGAAATCATCTGGGTGAGAAATGTTAAATTTACACAAGCCCAGAACTTAAGGGAGAATTTTTATAAAATGTTTTATAGATGGCACCTTGATCCACAAAAAATGTCTCGTATGTATCCCGACTTACAGCCCAAATGTTGGAGATGTGGTTGTTTGGATGCTACTTATTACCATATTTGGTGGTCGTGTAAAAATATAAAAGCCTTTTGGATTAAGATATGGTGGAATATTCAAAGAATTTTTAGAAAGAGGGTAAAATTTACCCCACAATTGTTTTTGCTAGGTATTGTTACCGATTGTGATACTAAGGAGGTTATATTGGTGTTAAATTTAATTACAGCCGCAAGGTTGTTAGTAGGGCAATATTGGAAGAAGGAATCTTTGCCTACCTTGCAAGAGTGGTTTTTTAAAGTATCTTATCTGGCAGAAATGGCAAAGATTTCGGCTTTTTTAAAGGATCAATCGCAAGAGAAGTTTTTTGTGGTATGGGAAAAATGGATAGATTTTATACAACATAAGTTGGATATAAAAAAATATTACTTAGTTTATCAATAATTTATATATAAATTTTAATATTTTATAGATTGTATTATTTTTTCTTTTATATGTTTTATTATTATTTTATTTTCTTATATTTCTTTTCTTCTTTCTTTCTCTTTATTCTTCTTTTTTTTTAGGTATTTTCTCTTTTTTTTCTTTAATATTTATCTCTTATATATATATATATATATATATTATTGTTAATTATTCTATTAGTAGTTTAAGTAATGTATTTAGATTTATCTATGGTTTATATATATATATATATTTTTAAGAATTCAAGAAAATTTAATTAAGCCTATATTCAGCTCTGGGAAAGTTGAGGGAGGGACTGGGAGGGTTGGGGTGGGTTGGGGAGGGTTTTTTTTTTTTCTTATTCTGTAAAATTTTAAAAATTTTCAATAAAAAAAAAAAGATTCCACACATAGAGTGTCTTGGTTCTAGGCACCAACATCCCCACAAACTCTCTCTTTCTCTCTTTTGTCCCTTGTACCTGGATTGAGACATCACTGTAGGAACCCCCAATGACACCTGTGATGGCTGTAGGTACATCGTCGTGGATGGCGTACGACCCATCGGGGCAGATGTGCTCAGAGCCATCCACTCTGGTGAGGGAGGCACGGACAAAATCCAGTGATTGCTCCAGGGCATAGGTATCTTTGGAGCAGGTATCCAGGATGTGTGCCCCTAGGGTAATGCCTGGTAGAATATGGTGGTTCTTGTTGATCTCATCTAGGGCAAAAAGCATAGCCTCAAGGCGTTGGATGCCACGATGTTCGTTGATTTTGCCACAATCCTCCGCTGGGCTACCTTTCTCATGAACTGGGAACAGGCCTCCAATAACTAAGTCTCCTTCCAGGCTGATCTCCTTCTTGATTGCCACATTATAGCTTGGATTCTGACTATTGGCATTGCATGTAATAGGATAAACCAGCAAAATCCATAGGGTAGCCAAGAATATCATTGCGTTGCTCCAAAAAGGCAGCAAAGGCCTTTCTGAATCACTAACGTAATCCGGTCAACACAAAGGTCTTAGATGGTTTCTCATTTGTTCTGCGCAGCTGAGTCCATAGAGTGCAAGAGTGCAAGCAGGCATGGAGGAAACAGAGCACCTTCGATTCAACTGTAGGGATCAATTGTATCCCTCTCCCCAGGAGAGGGCACTCTCAGAGGAGCTTTAATGGAAACATCCTTGCTTGTTGCTCCAGCTGCTTCTTCTTGTCTGGAGGCTTTTGAGAATGAAAGCCCAACACCTGCAGGAGGAGAGAGAGAGAAGGAAAGAAAGAAAAAGAAGAAGAGGAAGGTGGTATGGATCAACAATTGCATTAGGACAAGTTCTTTCTGTTCCAGATCTTTTATGAGGAGCCCTCTGGCTACCAATATTACTACTTCTACAGGGGATCTCTAAACCAGTCACTCCATACATGGGAATAAACAGAAGAAACAAGGGGGATACAAATGACCTGATTTCCATAGCTACATCAGATGGTACATCATTATATCATAAGAACATCAGTTGCACAATGGTGTCATGACATATGTATCATCATTTGAACATTGGCATGACCTGCTGCTCACTTCATAGCAACGTCTTAAAGACTCTCTGGCAAAGAAGCTCGTATTTACTTCGGGTGAGCCAGAATCTCCTTTTTCAGCATTCAAAGCAAAGTCATGGGGAATATGTTCCTCAGGCCATAATGAGGATCGAGGGTAATCTTTCAGCTGCCTTTCAGATGCACTGGGCTGTCATTTCCCTATCCCAGAAATCATGCTATCAGGAACTGGTGGAGTCCAGCTCACCTGGAAAGGGCCCAGCTGCAGGAAACAGCTGAAGTCCTAATTTCCCACTCTGCATGGCAGGTCCTACAGCCTCTCTACCTGAAGAAAATAAATTCTAAAATTTCTATTTCCTTTTTAAAATAATTAATTTTCCAGGTGCATTATTAATTTTCAAGTCCAAAAAAAGGAAAACACTATACAGTTACACCAATCATAATATCCCTAAGAGGTTTTTGTTGTTGTTGTTCTTATTTAAAACTTTTCTTTAACTTTTCCCCGGAAGTATTCACCTATGTATCTCTAAATTTAATATAATTAACTGATATTGACAAGTCTTATTTTTTAGAGATAGCATCAGGATTCCTGAGAAGGGTAAAAAAAATTCAAGATGACCCCTGCGACCCCTGGAATCAAAGCCCCTTTGTTTACATTCACACATACAACAAACCTACTTGGGCGGGGTAGTGGTGGTGTTGAGCACATAAGTCAGGATGCAGGAACCAATTTCCAAAGCTTTTTCATTTTGCTTCTTTTATTCCCTTAACAGAATTTAAAGTTTCCATCTTTTTTTGTCCTTTATCAACCCAATCCATTGCATTCTAGCAAGGGCCTCCAAAGGCAATGGGTCAAAAAAGTCAAAATGGCAGCAGCAACCACTTGATCAGAACCACATCCCTTTTGCCATGGCTCGTGCACATGAGGCACTACAAAGAACAGGGTTTGCATCATTCTGATTTTTAGATTTTTTTTTCCCCCTTAAGGTCACCTCTGTATTTTAGAAGCAAGATTGCACGCTAATAGCTGTTTGGCATAATTTTTCTGTTGACATTTCTTTCGGAAGTTGTTCTCCTAGAATTAATTTGGAAGAATGACTGAATCTGAAGTACCATGAAGTGCTAGGGTGGGCTGTTGTGGTTACTGCAAGCTATTTTATTTTGCGAGGTCACAGTCCAGGCTGCCTAAGTATCCTTTCAGAAGTGGGCCTTGTTATGTCCCGAGCCTTTGCAAACGGCTCGGGCGTTTGCAGGCAGTCCCGGGCAGGTGCAAAGCTGCCCGGGACCAGACAGGCTGTCGCCAGCGCCGTGCGCATGCGCGGGTGCTGGCGCGGGAAAAGTAACCCATTTACCCGGGAGTTGCCTATATAAGAGGCTGCGAGGCGTTTGGGCTGAGCTGAAGCCATCTTCCTGTAAGCTGAACGCTGAATAAAAGAACCTGAGGACTCCAGCTGCTTCTCGTGTCTGTTTTCCCGCCAAGGACGCAACACTGGCGACGAGGTGGGATGCCTTGCACTACCTGGAAAGGAAAAAGTGTAAGCTTACCCAAGGAGTCCTGAGCGGCGGAAGAGGAACGGTGTTGACTCAGCAGCTGCCCGCCAATCCAGTGCGCATTCGGGGGTAGGCTGGCTGATAGACCCGTCTCCTGAAGATCCGAAGATGGCGAAAATCGGAAGGCTTGCGGAATTCGACGTCTCACATCCAGAGCGGTGGGAGTCCTACGTATCCAGAATGGAGAACTACTTCAAGGCAAACCAAGTGAGGGAAGATAGCTTGAAGGCTGCCACCCTGCTTTGCGCTTGCGGCCAAGACGCCTTCGAAATCGCAGAAAACCTTGCAGCACCTGTTCCAGTAGAGTCTGTAAGCTACGCAGACCTGAAGAAGCTGCTGAAGGACCACTTTCACCCCAAGGTGTCCGTTATCTCATGGCGCCACACCTTCGAGCAGAGGGATCAACGGTCCGGTGAGTCAGTCAAGGAATACATCGCCGCGTTACGGAAGGCCGCCAAGCCCTGCGAGTTCAAGGACCTCGAGGAACGACTGAGGGACCGATTCGTGTGCGGGTTGAGGCATCGAGAGCTACAACAGAGACTTTTCGCTAAGGAAGAATTATCCTTCCAAGACGCTTTAAGGGAAGCCACCGCGGAAGAAGCAGCAGGCGGCGCCGTCAAGAACATGCGGCCGATCAGAAGCAGTGCAGAGGGTGCGTCCGTGCACCAAGAAGACGTCCGACGAAACTCCGAGGAGGATCCGGACGAAGAAGTCGACCGTCTACAACCCGCGAAGGGAGAAAATCAGAAGGAAAGCTCTTCAGCTCCGCTCAAGTGCATCGGCTGTGGAGGTCGCCACAGGAGAACCGACTGCAAGTTCCGCTCCGCTACCTGCCGGGCATGCGGCAAACAAGGGCACATTGCAGCTGTGTGTCTGGGCCGACGAAAGGCACAACCTCAAGAAGAACGCCTGAAGGGTACCAGAGTCCCCAGCCAGAATAGGGTAGGTTTTTGCGCTTCGCGTAGAAACATCTGTAGGACAGGCACACACAAGCCCATGAAGAAAAAGCTGTCACTCAACGTGAAGCTACAAGGGGTTCCATTATCTATGGAACTAGACACAGGGTCTGCCCTTTCCATCATTTCATTGCATACATTTAGGAAGATTTGTTCCAGTAGTGGGACTAAGGCCAAGTTAAGGCCTTCTGATATTGTATTAACTGATTTTCAGAACTCAAGAGTGTGTGTTAAGGGGGAGGCCACCCTTAACGTGCAATACAAGAGTTTTGAAGGTCCACTAGACTTGTTAGTAGTAGGGGGTGAAAGAACGAGTCTCATAGGACTCGATTGGTTTGAGGCCCTGGGGATACACGTCACAGGACTCAACAGCTTACAAACACTCGACCTACAGGAAGTCTGCAAGGAATTTGCAGATGTTTTCAGCCCCCAGCTGGGCACATTCAAAGGACCACCTGTGTCCTTAAAGCTAGACCCCACTGTCACTCCCATTAGGATTAAAGCAAGAAGGGTCCCTTTTGCTTTAAAAAGTAAGATTGACACTGAATTAGACAAACTAATCCAACAAGGAATCCTAGAACCTGTTGATTCCAGCCCATGGGAGACCCCCATTGTCACGCCTCTAAAGGCAAATGGGGACATTCGCATTTGTGCTGATTACAAATGCACACTCAATAAGGCATTGCAGCAACATGCCTATCCTGTTCCTGTGGTCAGTCACATCCTGGCCTCTCTCAAGGGGGGGCGTGTTTTTGCAAAGCTTGACCTAGCTCAAGCATATCAACAGCTGCCTGTTGATGATGATGCTGCCATAGCTCAGACTATTGTGACCCACAGGGGAGCCTTTAAGGTAAAAAGGCTGCAGTTTGGAGTGAATGTCGCTCCTGGGATTTTCCAAAGCGTAATGGAAAACACACTACGAGGTATACCAGGGGTCTGCCCCTACTTTGACGATGTCTTGATTGCAGGAGACTCCACACACATTCTAGCTGAAAGGCTTAGGGCTGTCCTGTTAAGATTCAGGAAATCAGGCCTCAAGCTCAGAAAAGACAAATGCAAGATTGGGGTGCCTTCTACTGAATTTCTGGGATTCAAAATTGATGCTGCTGGGATTCATCCTGCTGAATCCAAACTAACTGCTATTTTAGAAGCACCCAGGCCAAAGTCTAAGGCCGAACTTCAGGCCTTCTTAGGCCTCCTGAATTTCTACAATCTTTCTTCCAATAAGCTAGGTAAGCTGAGCCTTTCACAGGCTAAGACAAACAGGGGGATGGTGTGGCTGGGTCACAAGCACTGAGGCTGCTTTAAAGAAGTCAAGGCGCGTGTCACTTTAACAGTGTTCTTGCACATTTCAACGAGGTCTCTCCCTGTGTGCATCGCTTGTGATGTGTCCCCCTACGGGGTTGGAGCGGTCCTGAGTCACCTCAGGTCTGATGGAACTCAGGTTCCTATTGCATACTACTCCAGAACACTGTCTTCTGCCGAGCGCAACTACGCTCAGATAGACAGGGAGGCTCTGGCTGGTGTTGCTGGAATTAAAAAATTCCACGATTTTCTATATGGCAGGCAGTTCACGGTCTTCACTGACCATAAGCCTCTGCTGGGACTGTTTACCACACGTAAGCAGACTCCCCACATCATTTCCCCTAGAATGCTTAGGTGGTCTATTTTCTTGTCTGCATATGATTTTTCATTACTCCACAAGCATGGGAAAGAAATGGGCCATGCTGATGGCCTCAGTAGATTGCCTCTGCCAGTAGTAGAAGCTGACCCCGTGCCAGCTGTCAACATTCTATCAATCCCAAGCTTTCAGAGTTCCTCTAGTGCCAGGGATGTACCGCTTGAAACAGATACAGATCAAACACTTTCAAGTGTCCGCTCCTGGGTCCTGTCCGGGTGGCCGAGCACTGCCCTAGTTTCCTGAGGTTCGAGTTTCGGTCCAAAAGGAACGAATTGTCCCCCCCTTCCCCCCTCTACTCCTCCCCCCTTTCTCAGGGGTGTTTTGCTTTGGGCGAAACAGAGTTGTCATTCCCAACTCAATGAGGAATAGGGTCTTAGAATCCCTCCACGAGGGTCATCGGCATTGTTCGTATGAAGGCTCTTGCACGCAGCCACTTGTGGGGGCCTGCTTTAGATAAAGATATTGAGGCTAAGGTACACGCATGCCACATGTGCCAACGATCTCGCCCAGAGATGCCCCAAGCTCCTGTGCATAAATGGGAGGAAACACAGTCCCCATGGACTAGGGTGCACATTGACTACGCTGGGCCCTTTCAGGGCCAGTTCTTCTTGGTCCTTGTTGACAGCCATTCAAAATGGCTTGAGGTTGTGCCTGTCTCAT